CTAAAATGTAGATAGTTTATAAGTCAATTTGCTAATGAATGTGGCCCAAAATGTAGATAGTTTATAAGTCAATTTGCTAATGAATGTAGATAGTTTATAAGTCAAATTGCTAATGAATGTGGCCTAAAATGTAGATAGTTTACTAGTCAAATTGCTAATGAATGTGGCCTAAAATGTAGATAGTTTATAAGTCAATTTGCTAATGAATGTGGCCTAAATTCTTCTCCTACACATAATTAAAAGCTGGAATGTAAAATTTTTTAATTCTTACCCTCATGATTTTTTAAACTCACCAGAAAAGCCCCTCCCATCTTTCCAAGCTTTCTTGGTAGTTATTTAACCACGTATCCTTACCTGATAGAACATTTTGTCCTTTACAAAATGTTTATTAAAGTTACTTATTTTTGGCACACATACATAAAAGTTGGCCTTAGATTCATTATTGTTCTTCCCAAAAACACCTGACAGAATTTTTTTAACCATCTATAGATCAGTTAGAAGGCCCGTTAAATTAAAGTAGTTTCGGGACATTCTATTCTAGTGCCCGATATACATTCTAAAATGCACATTTGAAAGCCACATAAATTTTCATTTGAATAAATAACTTAGAGAAACAAAAAGTAAGACATATCAACAAGTGCAAAAATCATACAGACCATGCACGTTGTTCATGTTTCTTTTGACACAGTCCAAAGTACAGGCAAATTAAACCATAAAATTAGATGTGAAAATAGTTGAAGTTATGAATATAATGAAGCTGAAAATCTACAAAGAAGGAAACAGAAAAGTATTGTTAATTTTATTTTATATTTTTCAACTTTTTATTTCACTGCGCATGGAAGATTTTGCTGTAGTTAAGATAGAAGGAATAAAATATAAAGTTTAACCAAAAAAAAACGTTATTAGAAAATACTTTTTTTGAGAAATCTGATCTGTTGTGTACAACAAATCTGTAACGTTGAAAAGCTTACCAAATTTCGCAAATATAGAGGAATTAACTTCCGAATTATAGCAGTCATTAATGTTTGTTTGTAATTAAGCACAAAGCTACACAATGGGCTATCTGTGCTCTGCCCACCACGGATATCAAAACCCGGATTCTAGTGTTATAAGTCCGCAGACATACCGCTGTGCCACTGGGGGGCACATTAATATGTAAAGCTTCATAAAAACAGGGTCAGTTCACTGGAACAATTCTCTGCTTATGGAGTTAAAGTAGATCCTGTACTAAAAACAAAATCCTTGGTAAAACTTACCTCCCGAGTCGGCCAAACAGTGACCCAATATATTGAAGCAACCAGTTATTCCAGGATAAAAGTAGAGCTAAAAGGAAAACAAATTAACATTTAATAAGTTTAAATATTATAGAAACTCATTCTAGTTAGGTAGTTAAAAACTGGTCTAACTTTGTTGAAGTAACTTTTCTGAAGACACTTAGAATATTCAATTCATATGGTACATAATCCCTATGTTGTTAAATCAAGATCTATAGATCAGTAGTTTGTGTGGTATAACATTACAAGGAAACATAAATTAACAAATCCTTCTTCACTGTCCCTGTACGGTTCCTCAGTAAGAAGAATGTACTAGAATTTTAACCACACACCCCTGCCAATGAGGCCATTTGCTTTAGATCAGAACTCATCTGGTCGGCTTGACACACAGCATACCAACAGCCTCAGCCAAAACATTATTTATAAGAGTCATTTATCAGATAGTATTCATATGGTATATAAAACGATACATAGATTGGTAGTTTGTATGACACAACATCACAATAAGGCTGATAATATTTTATTTTTCACTGGAAAACTGTATAGAACCAACCATAGACACATTATGACACCTAAACCGGGTACCAGACAGCGTAAAAGGTTTCCTAGTGACTCCAACTGTGCTTATGCCGACTAGAAATAACAGTTGCCACACGTTACTGTGAAACAGAGCAGAAGTTGAATGGTTGTTTGCAAAACATACATTCGGCCAAGGAATACAGCTTCCTTGGATGTAATGCAAGGCCTAACCCCTTGAGCACATGTGGAACAGTGTTCGCAAGAATGTGTGGAGTGGTTGAGGTTCGTATTAGTTTATGTGCATGAACTTGCACCTCATTAATTAGCAAGAATCACCATACAGCAAAAATAATGATATGATAGAGCAGTACAGGAACAAAGTTATAAGAATGGAGACTAGGAATGGAATGTTAAATGTTTATGCCATGGAAGCAGCATGGAACTGGCTAAACCGATATTTATACCATTCTCAAAGAACTCACTACATTAAACTTGGCTGCAGTGTATGGAAGTAGCATGGAACTGGCTAAACTTATCCTTATACCATTCTCCAAGAACATTAAACTCAGCTGCAGT